CCTGTTTGTTGATATAATACGGGGTGGCCATATTGTCTGTGGCAATATGTACTCCTCTGCCAACTATAAGAGAATGGAAAGTGCGAAAGGCCTTGATGACCGTGAGCATCTCCAGATGGTTGATATGCAAAAGCCTTGACCAGAGGGCATGGATCTCGTGAGCACTGCAATGCGCACCCTAGCCTATTGGTCTGGCATCTGTTGTGACCTGTAAGGTCAGCTTGAGAGGCCTGAAAGAACTGGGGTGACAAAACATGCCATCGCCTTGAGTCAGCAGGTACAGCTGCAGAGGTAGCCTGACGAAGTCCTCCGACATGGTCCTTAGATGGGTAAACCATAGCTGGCAAGGCCATCAGGGAGCTATCAAGATGGTATCAGCCTGGGACTGCTGGATCCTGACTATTGTCCATTGGATGAGAGGAGGTGCTGAGTGATAAAGTAGTGCCTTGCGCCAGTCCACCATGAATGCGTCGCCTCGAGAACCTAGGCCTTTCCCTGCTCATGAATAGAACATGCTGCACTTTGAATTGTCTCGAGTAGCAAAAATGTCCAAGGTCGGGGTACTCCACCGACTTCAGAGACTGGCAAAAACAGTGTCGTTGAGAACTCACTCATGGGTTTGGGTGGTAAGGCGTCTCAGGTGATTGGCGACATCGTTGTCCGCTGTCGACACATGAATGGCAACCAAGAAAATGTGGTGGTCGTAACACCACTCCCAAAGATGAATCGCCAGTTACAGTAGGGAAAGTGAATGAGTACCGCCCTGTTTGTTGATATAATACGGGGTGGCCATATTGTCTGTGGCAATATGTACTCCTCTGCCAACTATAAGAGAATGGAAAGTGCGAAAGGCCTTGATGACCGTGAGCATCTCCAGATGGTTGATATGCAAAAGCCTTGACCAGAGGGCATGGATCTCGTGAGCACTGCAATGCGCACCCTAGCCTATTGGTCTGGCATCTGTTGTGACCTGTAAGGTCAGCTTGAGAGGCCTGAAAGAATGGCCCACTAATAGGTGAGGGACGAAGGTCCACCATCTTAGTTGATAGGCCAACTCTGGCGTCACACATAGTCTTTTGGAATGGTAGTGCACTAGAGGATTGAACTGGGCCAGACACCAGGCCTGCAAAGAGCGCAATTTCAGCCTCGCGTGTTGGAGCACCAACTTGGTCGAAGCCATCAAACCAAGGAGGTGCTGAGTATGATGAGCCAAAACCATAGCAGACAGGCGAAACGGGTGAATAGCTCACCTCAACCTGAGAATTCTTTTGGGAGGAAGGAAGACTCTGGCCCTGATAGAATTGAGGTGCACCCTAATGTAGCCCATGGTTTGAGAAGGCTTGAGATACTCCAGGGGACAAACACTGTAAAATTCATTGAAGCGGTGGAGAGTCTGAAGGGAAAAGTGCAAAATTGGCAAGCTGATCCCTTGAAGAAGAAATGGAGAAACGAAGTGATGTTTGTGAATGGAGATAAGGAAATAAGTGTCCTGGAGGTCTATAACTACAAACCAATCGCCTGGAGAGAGAAGAGGAATAACAGATTCTAGGGTGACCATGTGAAAACGCCTTGGACAAATGTAAGTATTGAGAAGCCATAGATCTAAAATGGGGCGAAGGCCGTCATCTCACTTGGGAACCGTGAAGTAGCGGGAATAAAAACCATTTGGAACATCCTGAGACTGTACCCGTTGAATAGCCTGTTTCTGCAGGAGGAGAGATACGTCGCTCTCTAGGGCAGTGAGTAAGTCGTAGATCTGATGTGACCAATGGGAGGAAGGAACTTGAACTCCAAAAGGTAACCATAATATATGATGGCGAGCACCCAATTGTCCTTGGTAATGATTGAGCATTTATCGGAAAAGGGCGCTAGCTGGGGGTGATAGGGTCGGTCGAGGAGTGGGGCCAGAGTAAGAGAGTCAAATATATTATTTTTCTTTGCAGATTGACAAAAAGCTTGATGGCACTGAACAGGGGTTTGGGACCGGAAGGAGGCAGCAGCAGAGGAGGATGGGGGAGGTTTGGAATGATCTGGTGGAGGAGGTTTGTATGATCTATAGGACTGCTGGTGCTATGGTTGCTGGAACTTGAACGGGTGACACCACTGGTTGCGTTGGAATCTAGGCTGTTGAGTAGATTATGATTGGGCTGTTTTGAGGATTTTATGCAGGTTGTCCATAAAATCGTCTGTCTGTTCATTAAAAAGGCCAATTCCATCCAATGGAAGGTCCTCTATGCGGGACCAAGGATCATCGGGGATCCCCGCTGAACGGAGCCACACATGTCTCCTGAAACCAATAGCAGAAGCCATGGCCTTAGAAGCAGCATCCGCCATCTGCTGAGAGGCCAAGTGTTGCTGTTTAGCCAAAACAGACACCTCTAGATGTGTATTGAGAACCTCAACCGTAGCATCCTCAGGGGAGGCCTGGGAGAATCTTGTTCCACAGTTGCCTCTGATATGCCCCCATGGCAGCTTGATAGTTCGATATCTTCATTACGAAGGATGCAAGAGAGCAGAACAACGGCCCAAGATGTCTAGTTTTCTACCTTCCCTGTTCGTAGGTGTGACAGTAGAGTGGTTCCCAGCCCGAGACTGGTTAGATTGCACGATAATGGAATTTGGGAGGATGCTTCACCAGAAAACTGGTGTTTTCATTCCCGTGAGTTCTGTAATGATTTTCGACACACCTGGAAATCTGTAAAGAAGTAGCAGGCTTATCCCAGTACTTTTCCTGCCTAAAAAATAAACAATAAGGTCCAGAATAGCTGGAACGAAAGCAGGACTCCATGGAAGTGATTTTTCCTGATAGATGTCGTTGAAGGTGAGATCTTAGGAGGAGGAGGTTGCTCGATATCGAGCTCCAAGGACTTTGCCATGTGGAGTATCCACGGCGAATAAGAAGTGAAATCCTCAGATGGAAATGGAGAAAGGTTATCTGCCATGTCTGAGTCTGGGTCAGAAGATTCAAAGGGACTCCCTAGAAGCCTCAGAGGGCTGAAGACACTGAAAAACCTCTAGTATAAGAAGGAGGTAAAGATAGCGAGCGGTGGCAGGACCTCCACATGGAAGCACTAACCCGATGCCGATCATGCTCCCCATAATGGTCTTGATAGTCCGCCAAGTATCAACGTCAAGAGTGTCGAAGGATGTAAATAACGTCCCAATGCCTAGGCGACTGAACCGCTGGAGAAACATGGCGCTGCTTAGCCAAACGTTTATGCCGAGAAGCCGATGCCGAAACCTCCAAGTTCAAGAGCTGAATAACAGTTGCCCGCCTAATGGACATAGGGCTAGAGGCTGGGCTGGAGATAACATCAGCCTCTGACGGCCATGACTTGGAGATAGGCTCAATGACGACTCCGAAGCCTGAGTCAGAGGGAACGGCATCAAGCCATCTGCTTCCGATTGGGTGTCTGGTTTGGGTACCTCCCTCAATGACTCAAGGATGGCAATGGAAGCGATAGTTGGGCTGGAGGAGGTTCTCTAGGACAACTTGATTTAGAAGACTGCTTTGTTTTCTTCTGTTTATCAATGTCCTTCCTTTTTTAGGAGAAGGATCACTAGCCGAGACTGAAGGTGACTTTGAGGCCAATGTTGACTTTGAGCCTGACAGGTGTTTTGATTTGGGAGCCTTAGAAGACTTCTGCTTAGGCAACAGCGTGACAAGAGCCAAGGGTTGGTCTACTTGCTCAGACCGAGGGACTTAAGGTTGGCTCCACAGTAGATGATGATCTCGAGGCCGAAGGCCTCAGGAATTTCTCCCAGAGAAAAGAATGAAGACGTTGCAAACGAAGGTTAAGGGCAGGTCTGGTCAATCTCTTGCACTCCGGGAAGGAGCTCATCTGGTGTTGTTCCCCAAGGCAAAACAAACAGCAATCATGGCTGTTGGAGAGGGGAATTTTATTGGCACACAAACTGCAACACTTGAATGGGCCTGTCAGGGACATAAAAAAGGGCGGGAAGGGGGGAAAGGGGAGAAACAAAAGAAAGAAAAAACTCACAGGGAAACGTCCAAAACAGAAGAACAGATCAAGTCTGAAATCCAAATCATAAACCGTGAGAAAAGCCAAACGTCCGAAAAACCGTAACAAGAAGTTCACTCTAGAGATTGCCAAAGAAGTCTAATTTCAGCGGTGGCTAAAAGGAACTTAGGTATTACAGGAGGGTGGAGCATGTGCACCACAGGGGAACCTCTTACTAATCATGTTTTTAAGCTCTAGAAGAATCCGAGGAGTCCTGCGCAGGTGCAGTAAAACCAATTCGTGTGCATTCAGAGAGACCACGAAGAAGAATCTCCAAAAGTTTAAAACATGCTATATGGAACATAGTCAACATTCTGAAAACTACAACAGTTTTCTTTTAAAACTTTGATATATAAAATGCCTGATGATCGGCATTACATGAGGACTCATACCTGTCCCTGTCACTTTCTCTATGGCTGCTACTTAAACATGATTGCATTTTGTTAATGGAGGGGTTCTTTTCTTTCTTAAAATAAATCCATGCTTCTTTCCCTCCCCCCCCCCCGGTTCTTGTTAAATGTAGACACCCACTATGGTCCTAATCCAAAGAAGGGATAATCTTCCTCCAAAACCAGGCTGCTAGCTGCAGACCTCTCTCAGTGTGGTTAAAGATGATCCACTGTAGCCGGCCCTTGGGTTCATTTGCTGGGATGCAGTCATTTAGGGACCTACAAATGGAACAGAAGGTGGCACATAAGCGTGCTTTGATATTTGGAGTCTACTTGGTGAGGAAGACTCTTTGCCCTACAAACGGTGATCAGAGTTAACAGTAGTGATTATATCTTGAACAGAGGAACCCGTAAGAAGGGTTCCATAGATTGCTGGGTGGCTGGAATAGGATAGGGTGTGATTCATTCCTGACAGCAATTTTACCTGACACACCATGTTAGTTTCATAATGTATGCTTTTCTTTAAGAACGAGAGAAAAAAAAAACAGAACAAAATAAAAAAATGTAACAAATTATCTTTACATCTTGGCACCTTGTAAAGTTTTTTTATACAAAAGTTCAATAATTTTGACACTCTCCATTATTAATCACTACTTCACTGATAAACTTTGAAAGTGTGACCTTGGAATTCATCATGCAAAGTATTTACTGCAGCAGGAGAAAACATTTTTGAAAGTTTTTTTTTTCTTTTTTCCCCCTTAAGACTGCCAGAAACAGGCAGTAGTAGGGAATAACAGAAGGGGTGGAGAAAGTATTTAAAAACAAAAAGACAACACGAAATGGCATAACGACAACAGCAAAAAAAATTGTACAAAAATGATTTGATCCATAACAGAATGGGGGAAATCATCTGTCAACTATGTTACATTTTAGAAGCCAAAAAAGGAAAAAAAAATCTGCCAAAACCAAAACCATAGAGTTTGGGATTTTCTCCCACATGTCAGCAAATGTCATCCAATAGTCTTAAAGCAAGGATAACTAAATAAAATACATGTGCAGCATATTCTGCAATTCCATTACATATAGTAGGATTTCTTTTCAAAGCATTTTTTTAAAAGTATAGTTAATATAAAGCAGTTGCACAAAAAGCAAAAGGTGTTTTGACAAACATGTATGAATTTATTCCTTTTAAGGAATGATAGCTTTAAAAAAGGACCTTTCCCCTCCCCCACCCATCTCCTTCCCCTGCCATCCCACCCCCTACCCACCAAAAGACAAAAAGGATCACAGAGACACATTGGGCTATATATGTACAACATAATAAACCCCACCCTATAGGAACAATTGTTATTATCCAAAGGGACACAGAATCTGAAATTTGTAAAAAATAGCAAAATTTGCTTGATGTAAAGCCTGAGATTTTTCTCTTGGTTCCTCTGCAGGGCAGCGATACCTGCAAGTTATGGTAAGTCTAATTATTTTTATTTCCTTTTCTCATTTATTATTTTGCTACAGTCTTTAGACTATGCATGCAAGACATACAACTAAGTGCAACTGAGTGAAATGTAGTTTTTAAAGTTTTTTATTTACTCATTCCCTAACAGTTTGAACTGAGGTATGCGTACTAACAGTTTCTCATGCTGTTATCTTTACTCATGTCTAGCTACACATGCTGAGAATGAACTAATCTACCAGATTTTTATCCCCTTTCTGAATACCAAGCTAACCAGCAAAACCACTCAGTTTTGAAGCACAGGGATAGATCGCTTCTTATGATCCCATCTGGCTACCTCCTGTACATTATGGAGCTTCCTGAATACAGGTTTGTTTTGTAATGTTTCAAATGACCACAGACTGCCCTCCTTACAAAAAATAAATCAGGGAAGGAAAAATAAAAGTTCAGCTTTGATATATTTCGCTGGCGGGGGGGGGGCGGTTTAAAAAAAGTCATTTGTATCCTGTTAGGTTAATGGCAAATGTAGCATTAGTTTATAAGGAGACAAGACTCTTCTTCCAGGTGACAGATGCTGACCAAAAATAAAAAAGATAAAAACTTCTAACAGAACGACAGTCACAACCATTCTAAATTCTTGTGCACTGATAAACCAAGTGAAAAAGAAATTGGCCTGTTAGCTAGCTTTTAAGAAAAGGGAATGGGATTTGTAAGGCCAAACACCTAACTTAAGCCTAAACACAACTTCTTCCAATTCTACTCTTATAAGGCTCAGTTTAAGTTGTGAAAGCTCCGTATGTTATGGAACTGTTTCATTTTGCTCTAGTTTTTCTGCAAAAACAGATTCCTTCCTTTCATTCTCCAGATGACATGCTGCCCTTTCCGTGCGCTCTTCACTTAATACTGTTCCCTAGTTTTGAGCCTTTAAAAAGCTCTCTCTTTATAGGTCACTGTAAAGAAACACAAATTAAAACAACGACTTTGGTTCAGCCATCTACTTGGACGTCTACATCATACTCTACAAAGGAGCAGTTTTCCTTCTCAGGTTAGCCATAGCCCACATCTTGACATTTGCTTCTAAATTTTTTCACCTCCTTTGATCAACAATAAGAGGATATTTGGCTTCATAAGATAAAGCATATAACAGAGAACATAATTTACCTTTGTGTAATATCTTTGGTAATTTTAAGGGGGAGGGAAAGCATGAAGTAAAATATAAGTTAAGATCAGAAAAGCTTTTGAAATTAAAAAGTTATAGTCCAACATAAATAAGTGAATTACAGAGAAGTGGCTGGAGAATGACAGTGTTTAGATGTCCAGTGATAAAGGGGTTCTGAGATTTTAACAGCAGCTGTCCATCCATATTTGCTCTGAAAAACACTGCGATTTGCAACACAGCTTACTCACCCAATTGTTACTTTCTCATACTGGTTGGTGTAAGATGTTGGAATGATCTTGTGTAATAACACAATTTGCCTAGATACTATTATTACAAGAGCCTTACTGATTTCCTCAGCAAATTGAATCTGGCTCCTGAATTCTGTTTGAACTAGAGAATGGCACAAATCTATCCTCAAACTGTATTAACTTATGAAGAACCACCACGTACAATAGCTTGTTTGCAAATATGGATCTTCTACACAAATAGATATTTCAGAACGATTTGATGGACCAGAAATTCATATTAAGACACAAACAGCCTTAAGTTTTGATATTAATTTTTGACATCAGCTGTGTTGGTTGGTTTCTGTTCAATTTTTTTGGTGCTGTTAAATTGTGTTTAAAAAAAGTCACCCTTGCTTCAAAAGCAAACAAATAAAAACTCAGAAGAATAACCTCCAAACCAAGAAGACAACAATATATATATTGTTGCTGCTCTCTGGAATGACTTTTGGATCACATTCTACACAATTTCTATGGTGGTTTGCCTTTCATTCTCACTCTTGCAGTACTGCCTTTTTCTGCTGGAAGATATGTTTGCACAGGTTACAGCAGCATTAAGAGAACCTTTCCCGGGTGGAGGGGACATATAGCCCAAAAATGGAATGTTTTCCAAAGCTAAAGAACGCATGATGACATCTGAAGGAAACAAGAATGAATGTCAGAAAAAGAACTACAAACAATTCAATGGACATTCAGTTTTGTATAATAAACACACCTATTAACATTCATCACAGAAGTACAGAAAACAGTAAGCCCCAAAAGGCCTTGGCCAGTTGAGGCCTGAGGTCAGAACTTAAATGGTGTAGGAGGAGGAGGGGAGGAAATCAAAGCTATTCACTAAAAAAATTGGGAGAATTCTCTTTTAATCCCTCTTCAGTATATATGCGTGGCCACACATGCACGCACATACATATCCCATGACATCCCCATCCCAAATGGAAGGAAAAAAAAGTAAAGGCAGTGATAATCAACATGCGATACTGTGCAAATAAGTTGTCCATTGGAATCCTTAAAATCTGGGCAAAGGCTTGATCTGCCATTTACGTGTACATGCTCACTCTGACGTCTTCAGTGTCCCAAACTGGAAGAACTGCAGTCCAAAGTCTGCTGCCAAATTGTGGATAAATGAATTAGTTGAACAAATTTACAACACTGATGTTGACTGTGAGAGGGAATCCCAAGTACCAAACAAGTCCATCCAATGCACAGAGTACAAATTTCTTTGTTTTTTTTTTCAACAAAAAGTAGAAAAATCAAAAATACTCCCAAATGGGATACTTGATGGCACTAAGAGTTAACATATTTCATAGCTGTCAAAATAGACCAAACGTATCCTCCTCCAGACTGTACAAATAATGGGGACAGATTTCACAGCTAATTTTGAAGTACATTTTTCCCCTCTGTCCCCATGCTCTTCATTTGCAGGATCACAACCACAGACATATTCATTCAATGTCCTCATTTACATTTTCATCTTCATAATCTCTGTCATGATCAAACTCTGGACTGTGATTGGCTGTTGTCACTAATGATAGTGGGCCTTCATTTTCATCTGGATCTAGCGGTTCTTCTTTGACATGCACAGGGTGCCTGGAGAGAGAGAGAGAGAGAGAGAAGAGAGAGAGAGACAAAGAAAAGGAGGTTTTGGTTACTGAGGCACTCTATTTTAAACTATTCGGGTAAGAAAGAATGGTAAATAATTCAAAAGATTTCCCCTCTTTTATTCTCTTTGGCAGAATAAAAACAGCTATTGCTTTACAGAAATAATTTTAAATATGCCTCAGATCCCCAAAAATGCAATCTCTTCAGCCAAATGGCAAAGAGGTTAAAGCAGAAAAACAACCATAAAAGAGGATAAAAGATGCAGTGGCACTCAACATTCTCCTGAGATTTTTTTTTTGAGGGGGGGCACCTTTTGTGGTGTACAGTCCCCTCCTTTTCATTTTGTCACAAACAGAAGTCACACTGTGGATTGCATCTTGGCTGCAAAAGGAAAATGGGAGCGGGGGGGGGGAAACGCCTAATATCGCTGAGCTTCAATAGGCAAGAAAAAGCTCTTGTCTATAATTTCTTCATGGGATTTAGAGAAAATGCTCTCAAGTGACACATTAGCTTGATTAATACAATCTTCAGATAAATAAATGAAAAAAAGCATCTGTAAAGCAAAACAGTGGTTTATCAGCCAACTGAGCTTCTGGAGGCTGGGCTAATCACTGGTTACTGCGTGTTCTGCTTTTCTAGTTAACATGCAGAACCTGTGAGGCAAGTCTCTGGAGGACGACCCCAAGTGAGGTTCTATCATTAATCAACTTCAAGCAAACACAGCAAAGAGACACCATGATACATGCTTTAAACTCCAAATTAATGCATATTTTTACAAACTGTCAATAAAGGAAGAAAAGCCCTGCCAGGAAACACAAACAGAGAGGAAAAGGCTTGCTCAACGCAACAATATGATAAGAAAGCTGAGTCCTAATGAGAATAATAACACTGTCAGCTGTAAACAAGGCAGAACATGATCCTCAGCTCATGGTGGGCACTAAGGATGCAGTAAAGAGATGAGATCTGCCAAATTTCTCATTACAGAATAACACGTGAATAACTCACAGGAACAAGGGTTGATTATATATAAAATGGGCATGATAACAATTGAAAAATGTTGTCCGTAAATCATATTCACAACAAACCCATTTACAAATACAAATTACCTTCCTCTTTCTTGTTGTTGGTGGCTTTTGATATGCAAAATATCCCAGCATGAAAGTAGTGACTTGGTAAAGAGACTTCATGAAAGGAAATATGATTTTATTGGCCATACCATACAAACTCTAATATGACAACCCATCAAGGAAGACCTTTTGCTTTGTAAATAAGTGGTGTTTACTACACAGTTCTTAATATTAACATAATAATGAGTTCAAGTCTCAGTTTTCAGAGGGGGATTTATAATATGCCACATTGGGTGATGAAGTCTTTCTTTAAGGTGGGCATACAACGAGATAAGCACACGTTTAAGCATCTGGTATCTAAACTTTCAGTTCCAAGTAGATTAAAATATTTTTATAACCAAACTGAATGGGAATGACACAGCTTGCCATCATCTATGCTGTCTTGATGACCAGCAAAAACGCACTTATGGAAGTCAAGAATCAACATTCTGACTGCTATTGTAACAATGAACACCAGCCATATGATGCAGAACTAGGAATTGTCATGTGAGAGCAAACTGGGCTGGTATATGTGCCAAGAGAAGCGAGTTAAATGATAGAGCTGGCTCAATATCTGCATTGTAGTTTTTCAAATTAGCATTTGTTATTATTGGTGATGGATCCAAAGGCCTCCAGAGGGACAACGTGCACTATGTTCTATTGATAGCCTTTCAGATCTTTTTTCAAGTTGAGGCTCTTGAACTGCATATTACCAAGCCAATATGAAGGCATTTTCTTCAATATCTACCTTTTTTCTGGACACCATAAACAGGGAGAAACCATGCTTTTGCTGCAATATAATCTTAGAACTGCACAGCTGGAAGACACCCTATGGATCATTGAGTCCAGCCCCTGTCCGGCTGGCACATTGGGAACTGAACTCCCAAACTCTGGCTTAGCCAGATGCCTAAAGCACAGAGCTATCCAGCAGTTCCTGCAGAAGCCATTTGCATCTGAAGAAGTGAAGGTTTCCACCTCAAAAGCTTATGCCAAATAAAATCTGTTAATTTTGACTTCTTGATTTTGCTGGTGCTCTGGACATTGTAATGCAGGTGCTCTGGACACTGATTTATAGAAACATGTCTATGAGGCATGAACAGTGCATTGCCTAAACACATTGTAATAAAACACACAAGAAACATCTCAGTCAAATTATGGCATTTACACGGTGCTTTTGAGACTACCAGGGACTACTTTTAAGATGCAAAAGTACACTGTAGGTACGAGAGAGGTTTGATTGCATCCTACAGTTTTTACTTACACGCTTACTTACAATGTAGGTACGTACCTACGTTGGAGGAATAATCCAATGCTGGAAAAATATAGTAACAAAAACAGTGACAATAGGCATGATGTGTGGTACATACTGTATGTGTGTATATAATTCTCTGATTTGAATGCTTGCAAACTGATGTATGCTCATTGACCATTCATTAAACTGGAATAGGTTCTGAAACTAGACACCGGCCAAAATCTTGTTGCTCAGGGTGAATACATCTCTTCTGTCAACTGCTACCAGAACTAAAGACTGCTTACCTGCATTCAGGAAAAATTTTCAAGGGACCTCAAACATTGTGGAAGGGAAGTTCTTCATAAACCTAATCTATTTTATTTTTAATTTTAACAAAGAGGTTATTGTGGAGGTAGTTATGAAAGACCTGTGCAGGAAAAGTAATATCCAAGACACATTATAAGAGTGAATGGGTATGAACTACCTGTGCTTCATGGATAATGTCCCTTTTCTCCATGGATAAGAATAGTGTGTGTGCGTGTGCATGCATGTGTGCACGCGCACTGATGTGAAAATAGGAGAAGCAAGATAGAGTTAGAAATTAAAAGCTGGATCCAGGCAAAACTCTTTATGCAAACTGTTTACCTTTGTTGTGTTTTCAGTTAGGTATTTTTCCCCTAAAACTTTTCTAAGAGTACTGTTTTAAATTATTTTTGACGTATGTGTGTTATCAATTTAATGGCATGGATTTACTGTTATTTTAATTCTAATTGTTGACTTCTTTTGTCTACTTTGAACGTCTCATTAAAGGGGGGAAAGTAGGATAAGGCGCTTTAAGCTATAATAATAAACAGTAAACCACTATTATGACATTAATAATCCATTGCAGAAAGGGATTTGAGGAGAAAAATGTAACAAGGTTTATGGAAAATAGACTATCAAAAAGAACCCTTGTCTCTAATTTTCCCTATTTACTTCCCCAGCATTTCATTTCCAGGTTGCTGAACAAAAGGCAGTCCCAAATGCTAAGTAAAGAAGAAACGTTTGGGATAAGAGCCAAGCAAACAAGATTCAAAAAGCCCATTCTCTTTCATTTGTGGTTACTAGAATTCAAAAGAACGTAGTCCAGGTCTGGATGTGGCAGGAAGGCAGAGATGCTCTTTTTTCCCCTTGCAACCTGTACATAAGACTGCATTCTGAGACAGAACTCAGAGAAGTCAACATGACAGGTATGAAACATTTATACTGTGAATTCCACACAAAGTGAATTCTCTTCTGAAGAAAGACTTATTAATATACATAAATCTGCAAACCATAAAGTGTATGCAAGATACTATTCTAAGTGCACTGGACATTTAACGGCAGAAGTCTCAGCAGAGATTATCAAAAGGCAAGCTTTCTCATGCTTATCTTTCATGTTCAAAGCTCCATCCCACCATCCCTTTATCATTAGATAATGGTGCAGGTTCAATTGCAAGTACCCCCATTGAAAGGATCTCAGGTAGCAAGGCTGGAAAAGATTTTCTGCCTAAGATAGTAAGAGAGCCACTGCCCAACAGTACAGGCATTGTCACACAAGTGATTAGCGTGAAGTCCCTATGAGACTATTTGTTTCTTTTGAACCTTTAAAGCAAAGATGGGAAGAATACTTTCTCCATGCCTTAAGGCTCTCCTGGCACATAGAAACACCTTAATGAAAAATGTTCAAGCCCGGTGAGACTTCTCCACTTCAGCATGAAAGTGAGATGACTTTTTCCTTGTTCCTGCAGACTATGCAAAATGTTTCTGTGCAAAACTAGTGCTTCACCCTCTGAAAGTTGGCCGCATGCCTGTGCACAAACACACACCGTGAGGATAGAAGGACTGGCTAACAGACAACAAAGATGGACTGAGGAGTCTGCAGGTAGACAGACTGAGGAGGACCAAAGCACAGTACTAAATCCAGTACAGTGGTGCCCCGCTAGATGCTTACCCCGCATGACATGGAAATTGCTTAACGATGACATTTTGCAATTGCTATTGCGATCACAAAACGATGGTTCTAATGGGTTTTTTTACTTCATGTTCATAAGGAACCTGGTTCGCGAACTGTTTGTTCGCTATATGATGAATTTTTTCACTTCACGTTGATAAGGAACCTGCTTCGTGAACTGTTGTTCGCTATACGATGATTTTTCCAGTTCCGCAAAATGGCTTCCCTCCCTTATCAAAATGGCTGCTTTCCGGACGGAAGCTTCACATTACAGCGATTTTGAACAGCTGATTGGCGGTTCTCTATGGGCAATCTTCGCTAAATGATGAGGTATTCCCCCCACTGGAATGCATTGACCGGTTTTCAATGCACCCCCCAATGGTTTCTCCCCCGCTTGACGACAATATCGCTTAACAGCGATTTTCCTGGAACAGATTATCGTTGTCAAGCAGAGCACCACTGTATTAGTCCTATCTATAGTGGATCCATTAAAATAAAGTTTTATGAATTGATTTAATCTACTGCAAGCAGTACTGTGCTTTCCCCCAATTTTGTCTCGGAGCAGGGATGAATAGATCTGTCAAGTCAATTTCTATGGCGTTGCCTTCTCCACCTGACAGAGTGAATTTCTCACACATCCTTATTCTACAACGTTCATGGGACACATTCTGATGGGATTTGGATCTGATCCCTGTGCCTACAATTTATATAAATAGAAAAATATACTGCAATATCAATTGCAAATTATACTACTGTGATATAAACTACAGTTACAAGAGGAGTCTCATTCAGATTCGGACAATGGTGGGTAGGAGAAGCACTATTTTCCCTCATGTCTGAAGATGAGGGGCCCTGAGCCTATTCCAGAATAGAGATTTTAAATGACAGAGCTGCTAGTGACCTCTTTAATGCTTCCACTGGCACTAAATGTAGAGAAGAGAGTGGAACAGAGAAGAAAGCAAGTGAGAATCAAAAAGCATCAAATTACTAAAGCCCCTCTGATACCCCTGAACTGGTCAGTTACAAGGCAACTTCTCTGATACTGTCCTTTCTTCTCTACCTGTATTCTACTGGGCAGTGATTACTTCTCTTCAAAAAATGCATTGCTTCTTGTCTCATTTCTAGTTTTGGTTCTTTGTGTTTTTCGCCCTTCTGTTGCCTTTAGCCTCTATTCCTGTGTCTTACAGATTGCTCTTATGTTTTTGTATTTTGTAGGCTGCTGTGAACATCTATTTATAGGGAGGAAAAGCAGAGTATAAAAAGTCTTTAAAATAAATACAAAAATATATTACACAAGAGTCAGAAATATTTTATGAAAGGGTCTTAGAAATCCTCTTACAGCTGGGAAGGAGAAAAAAACAGAAAGCGAGGTGGTTACCAAAGGTCAGCCTTGTATAGGGGAGGGGGTAGTTTTGCTCTTTCCCTAGTTCCAGAAATCCCGCCCACTTATTAAGCTACATACTCCTGTTGTGTCTGAAAGGGTTAACTATAAGTAACCACACCAAGTGCCACTTTCCCTACTTTTTCACATCTCAGTAATTCTTTGGTTTGTCCACTCAAGAAGAGAGGAGCTTTTAATAAAGCTGACGGTTGTTTAATGCCACCGTGTTCTTATGGCGCACACAGCATGGGACTGTTTGCTTTGTGGCTATATTTGCAGCATGTCAGGATGAAAGTGTTAGGTCCCCAAGCTGTAGTTATGTGACTACTTTCTAATATTTCAAAAGAATAGAAGAAAATGGGGGAGGGCATAGAATAATTTCAGGACGTCATAAAATGCAATGAATGAATGGCAGTAAGATTTCTCTTTGAGTGTCATGTTAACAAGACTCCCTGAAGTTTGTGATAAAGTTTAAAGACTTGAAAAAGTTCCAATATATTAGAACCGTTAAAAAAAATTTACGACAGGAAAGTACAATTTGTAAAGGAAAAGGCAAATGTAATTGTCAAATTTACTCAGTAGCAAGCTGAAAGCACGGAGAGCTACCTATGATTGTATCAATAGCTTACACTGAATGCTGGCAAATTATTATACAATTATATAACCTGTTTTAACATTTGAACAAATCCTATTATCTGTCCTTTCAAATGCATCTCAAAAATACTTGTTTAATGGAAATGCCCTGCTAGATCCTCTATCACCTTACTGAATATGTTCAACTAAAGAAAATGCTTTAGAAAGAAAGAAGTGGGATGAGACAAACAATTGCTAGATGATAAAAAATAATCAAAACTAATCTCTTCCACAAATATTTATATTATTAAGGATATCCAAATTATTTCTGAGCATATCAAGTCAAAGTTGTTGTTCTAAATAGTTCTCTTCACCTCCCAAGAGTTGTTGGTTTTGAACAAGGCATACAATCCCAATGTGTTTTTGCTTCTTATAATGGTCTCACACATGCTTAATGTGATTGTGAATACTGAGAACCTCTATGGCTGACATATCTATTGACAGACATGCAGGCAGGCATATCATCACTCTGATGTTTGACTAACTTAACGTAACTCAGCTTTTCTGTGTCTATGCCATTATATACAATTCTTCCAACCCCCCTTTTTTTTAAATTCAGGGAGAGTTCATACCCAAATCTGATTTGTGCACCACTTATAAGAAAGGGTTGTGCACTTGTTCCTCCAATATCTGAAGTGGATTCTTGTCATGCGTGAGGTATTGTCTAGCACATCCAGTGAAGTACAGCTCCTTGGGAACAGGCAGCACAATGCTGTTATACCAAATGCATGCTCTGGAGCTTACTTTTGATAGTATTGCCCTTTGCTTCCTCTACCTTCAACTATTAGCACTATACTGCTCTATGCTTGCTTACTTTTCTCTTCCATATTCTTTTTTGGTGTGTCTATTAGATTGGGAATCTCCAGGCGAGGGCCATGTTATTATTCAACAGCCTGTCACTGCTTAGGAAATTGTTGCTGTTTTGTTGTTTAGTCATTAAGTCGTGTCCGATTCTTTGTGACCCCCATGGACCACGGCACCTCAAGCCCTCCTACTTAGGAAATTATTAAGCACTTAAAAATAATAATTTTGTTTAAAAAGGAAATGTTCAAGCTCCAATCTCAGAAGCTTTTCATTCGCTGTGACATTTTGACCCCCAATTTCTCTCCATTATCCTAATTTTTTAAAATATCTAAAATTTTATACCAAATATTTTAAAAAACTAAATGCCTTCTTCCTGAAAAATTCCAGATTCTGGCAATGTCTGAGCATGAGAAACTATGACGGCTCTTAATACTGTCATGGAGAGAGCGAAAGTGTTTGTGACTAAAATTGCCTGAAGAGGAATTCATTCAGATGGTGCTAGAAGAATGTCATGCCGTTCTGCTGTGGGAATGCTAATTAATACTGCACAAACAATCCTTGTAGAAGCTAAACACATTCAAATGTTTTGAAGTAAATGGTAAAAGACAATGTTCAAATTAATTATTAATTAAAAATGAATGTTGCCATCTTTAAAGATTTTTTTTTCAAAGCACAATGTGCACTGATTTAAAATGCTGAAATATCAAAGTATTAAGAGCCTTAGATTTCCTTTCTCCTCTACCCCCTGCCCAACATATTATGCAGGTGGGAAACTTTTAAAAAACCATTAAATGCTAATTACCTTCACAACTAATTATTAGGGTGGCATTAGGTTAATGTTTTCCTACCTTTTGATTTAGACCTACTTTTGTCAATGCCTTATTCATAGTACTTTGAAGCAGAAGGGCTACAAATTAATTCTTTTAACTATTTTATTAATTGGCTATGTGATCTTTTGGCAACTAGACCGATAATTTCATGGTAACATTTAAAGATACAGCTAGCTGTAGTCCCTGCTAGAGTGGAGAAAATACTTTTCTTTACAAATGCCACATAACCAAGGCATGCCTGAGTGAGGATGAAGACTGTCTGTTGCCATCTTTCCTCTCTCCCACACCCCATGTAAAGCATCGCGCCACACCTTGTGAGCCAGTAAGTGTAAAAGCAGTGTGAGGAATGGTACACTAACCACAAAAAGAATTTAGATGTCCAAGCTACATAGCTGGACCGTAGAAGAAAAATGCTGCTGTATTTGGCTGGAAGGTGATCAGAAGTTCCATCCACACAGGGGTGAACAGAAACAATTGTGCCATGACATCTCCTGTGATTTGACTCCACCACCTTCTGCTCAAAAGTTTCCAAAATATAACTGCACTGCATGTTTTCTGCTAATCACCAGCGATGCTAATCACTTTGCGGATGGATCAAATGATCAGAAGGGAATAATAAATTAAAAGGCAAAGACTGACTCCAAAAGAAATGCATCCCCATAATATTTTTCAGACAACGCTGTGGTGCTGCAATTTAAACAACAGAATGTTATGTAAGCAAGGAAGGTCATGTATCTTTTTTTGGTGGGAACGTCAGGCTGGACTGTGATGGTGTTTGTTGTTGTTTCACTGTGCAAAGTATTGCTTATCTTTCTTCTATCAAGCATATATAGCTTATTTCCGAAATTTCAGCTGCAGGAGTGTTGGGGAAGGAGGCAGAGACATGTAACATTTCTTTCCACTTACATTGCTTGCATAGGGGAACGTCCCGGACTGCTGTCACTCCCATTACTGTTCGCATGCTCCATTGCACCATTAAGTTCTTCTCGCAGAGCATTGGCTAAACTGCCCAGAGTAGGGTTTCCCATGGAAGCAGTAGTGTACAGCGATATACTGTTTTCAGCCATTGAAGCCTGTCAAGTAAAAAAAACAAAAAGACAAGAGAGTCCATAGCGATATGTACCTGCACTTCAAGCCAGTTCCAAGCTACACTGTTTTCATTTTTTAAAAAATCCACACCATACATTCCACTGCTGTGTAGCTAAGATTTCATCTAGTTCTGTTTTTTACCTATCAATAACTTCATCTGTACGATCAAACAAAATTTCACAGAGTGAATAATTCAAATGATGATTTGGGGCCATGAAATGCTTAATTGGCTTTGCACATTTCTTTCTTTTCTTTAAATATCAGCACGGGAAAAGGTGTAACCTTACACCATGGTACTGAGGATCAGCCATGTTCCACTGGAGGTTGTGAGAGAGACAGAACATTTGGTCTCAGCCCATCTTTACCCGTTTTGGTACCTTGTACACAGTAATTAATTGCTTAAATATTAGAGCAGAAAGTAATTGGACTTAAACATGCGTTTAAGAACTAAATGACCCACTTACAGCTGCCATTGTGATTCCACTCATATGGCATTCCTCTGACAGCTGATCCAGGTAACTTTTATAAAAATTTGTCATGCAGAGATCAGACAATATGTTATGGGGATAAGTCACCATTGTGGAGAAAGTGATTTTGTTTAAGTATTTGAGGCACTGGATGATATGTTGGCATCTTTCTTAACAGTTAGCTAGTCTCTCTGTGCTTGCAACATGTGTGCACATGCGCTATGCTTCGCAAATGAAAGAGCACTACAGGTATTCTGTAGGAGGCAGCGAAAAGTGGGGAAAAAAGACTCTGATTCATTCTTCACTGGGTGAGAGGAATCTTCTAGGGCTTTAATCTTCCTTATCAAGGTCATGGTAATACAGCCTAAATCAATGGGAATGAGGAGTTCCTAATCTTTCCATCCCTACTTCCAAGGGGAAAGTGGTCATATGGCAAGCCAACAGTATGCTATCCATTATTATCAGCATTGTAAACCTATCCAGAGAAAATATAATTGAGTTGCGGAGTAAATATCCCAGGCTACTACTGCATAAAAACACATCTTTTCTGAGAGTAAGGCAGGGAGTAAATATCCCAGGCTAAAAACACATCTTTTCTGAGAGTAAGGCATGCCCCCTTTCCATTATTGCATTTGTTGTCCACTTGATTGAGGAAACCTGATATATTTACAGACAGAAAAATATCTTGCTGCAGGCCACATTCACAAGGTGTACCTAGATCTATCATGTTTTGCTTGCATGAATATGTGAAACTGCCTTATGCTGAGTCAGGCCATTTGTCTATCTAGTCTAGTGCGTTTTATTCTGAAAAGAGGCATATCAGCAAGGCTACCTGGGATCTTCTTCACCTACAGAATTTAGGCTTCAAACTTGTGATCTGCCAAATGCAAAGCATATGTGCAATCAATGGGCTATCACTAGAGATCACATCTTGAAATTTCAAACTTAGGCTTCCGGAATTTGAGCCTAATGAATTGTTTATTGTGCAGAACCTTGAGTCATTTTTTAAAAGTCAAAAAGCTCCGTACATGTTCAGGTGTTTTTGGAATGGAACACTGTGCACTGCACAGCTGTTTTCCATCCACAATACTCAATTTCCACATGCAACCACGGACGCTCTCCTGTGGTCCAACCCTTATGAATGTACCATGCCTGGGGCTACTGCATCCAAATATACAGGGCAAACAGCTTGTGATCAGGATCAATCTACTCTTGTTTTCCCGAAAATAAGACCTAACCTGAAAATAAGCCCTAGTATGATTTTTTCAAGATTCTCGCAATATAAACCGTGCCCCCAAAATAAGCCCTTTTAAGTGAAACCCCGCCCTCCACCATTGTGCAGCATTGTGCAGTAACCTGATGATGATGACATGACTATGTTTGAATAAATGTAGATTGTTGTACATGAAAAAAAATCCCCTGAAAATAAGCCCTAATGCGTTGTGGGTTTTTTTTGGAGCACAAATTAATATAAGACCCTGTCTTGCTTTCGGGGAAACACGGTATGACTTGATATAAGACAGGCCTTGATGTACAACAAGAAACTAGGCTGGAGTATGTTTTCATCACATCTATTGTATGCTGTTCAAGAAATAGCTCTTAGGAGTACACACTCCTGAGAGAAAGAGAGTTAGTAGAAATATGGTGTGCAATGTTATAATGGGGCATGTGTGCGTGTGTGTGTGTGCACACACAAATGTAAAAATGTGAAGATTAGGTACAGCAGTACTGCAGCGTGAGAGAACTGAAGAATCCATCCTTCTTCAGTGGATTTCAAGAGCTAGGTGAAATCAGGAGCTGCAGCAATAAGAACAGTATTTTAAAAACAAAGATTTAAATCAAGGTTGGTCTGGGGATGGAATTGAGGTAGCACATGACTGAGAAATGTTACTGGCTTATGGAGGTCTACGAATTTGTGCTACTACATCCTATCCAGCATTTTGAATGACAATAGATGAACTTGGAAAACATTTGCATTTCTGAGCACTTGAGGGATGGGAAATGGAGATCTTCCTACTATAGAGGTTTGCAGGAGATTGTCCCACAACAGAAAATTCCAGATTTCCAGAACTACCACATTTGACTTGTGATCTGGCAGGTCCCCTCTGAAGCTCTGGGGAGGAAGGTACCTTCCAGTCTAAGTCTACAAGCTGCCTCTCTCACACACTGTCCACCCTGTTTGATTTTCTCCAAACAAAGCTTATCTGCAGCTTCTGCTCTTTACTTAAAAACAGAACTGGCATAGTGAGGAGAAGAAATGAGAAAATGTAGATATAGAAAAATGTCTGAAGGAAGACGCTTTCCATTTTCTGGAAAGTTAGTTCTCCATTTTGAGTTCTTGGGCTCTGCTGAATATTCATATAATTTGAGGCTTCACTTATTGCAACCCCACCTGTGGGTCCAGCTTCAGAAAAACTGTCACTGACAGACTGAAGAACCAGTTCCCGCCTTTATACTCTATCTAGCTGTCGTTCTTAAAGCAAAGCCGCTATCTCTATCCAGTGCAATCAGAAAGCTACTATAACGAAGAGGATTATATTTATCTTTTTTTAAATTCAAGATGCAGAAAAATAATTTAGATGAAGTAGGGAATGTAAGACTCGTGCATCCTGCAGTTTGTGAAATAATGAGTCACGCACTTCCCACCACAGAGATAACTTGTAATTGCAGTAAAGTAATTTATTTAGGAAGAGCCAGAACAGTAAAATCTCTTTCTATTTTTTCCCTCCAAAACCATAGGTGGGCCAATGGACAAATTCTAAACAGAAGCACCAAGATAGGTAACAACAGGGAATCCTCATATGGTAGCATTCTGAGATATGGATCAGTAATGTTAATCTAGGCGTTCTAATTATTTTTATGCCCCCAGGGCTATGAATCCAAAATACATCCAACACATAGGAGATTTCCTCCCAGGAGTTTGTTTTAAAGGTTTCTTCGAGACACCCCAGTGTTCTCTCTCTCTCTTACCTACTTCAACATGTAAGAAAGTTGGGAGACTGGATGAAAGAACTGCTGAAAAGGGATCTACGCGTGCCAAGCACTACAGCTTTCTGTGTCTGCCCCCAAGTCACTGGACAGAGATCTCTGGGCAGAGCTATATTTGAAATGACAGGGAAAATAGTTTTACACAGGTGGGGCCGAGCTTTCTGTCATGTCCATTTGAACCTAAGAGAAGCATAATACTGCTAATACTGAAAAATTATGATTGTGTTGACTAAAATACTGCTATTCGTTGGAAACATTTTGTGGTTCAGGAGAAGAATCTTAAAACAGTGTACTGAAAGCAAAGAATTAGGAAAAGGAGAATACAAATGTTGGAAACCTTCATTCATTCCCACTGCCCCACTTTGTGTTCTACCAGGTTTAGTATATCACTAGATCTGCAAGTTGAAATCAGGGAAGTAATCACTTGTTGTCTCACCTATACAGGGAAAAAAGAGAAGAAGATACCTTTTGAAACAGATAGGGGATCCTAATTCTTGGCTTTGGATCCTAAGAGGACGGGATGGTATGTGGCAGCTGCATGAAGAATTTGCTGCATACTGTAAAATCCACCAGCCAAACTGAAATGCTTAATTAGTGAACTTCCAACAACCCTCCAGACAGGGATGCCAAAATGACACTGTGATGGATATTACAAAAGTGGCAAATTGCTTGATGACTTGGGAGTTCCAAGTACATCCTATCCAGCAATTGTTGCTGATATTGTTAAACCTAATTTCAAACCATGTGAGATTTCCTGCTTTTTTGCACAACAGAGAAACAACAAGAAAAGTGTGTGACTGCTAAAGAAAGCTGCTTTGAAAACCACCACTCCTATATAAGGAAATCTTCCAGACATGTAGGGAGAGAAGAATAACATTATGTATGATCATAAACAAGTAGTAGTAATTGCAGTAATAATGAGACCTGTCTGAATTGAAATCCAGTTTATATATGTGGCTAACTTTATTCACTTTTGATCAGAAAAGGAGTGATAATTGCATAAAAAGAGCACACTTGCATATTTTACTCCTCTTAAGATTTAATTAGCACACCATGAAATTATATGGTCACAGTTTCTGTTGAGTAAAATGTACAGGCAGTCTAGATTTTCATTTGACTCTTCTTAGTACACTGAATGTGACTTACTACTACTTGTTGTGTGGGGGTATATATATTTTTTAGCAACGAAAGTGCAAGAGAACAGAAATTACTGTTACGTTATCACATAAAATGGGAGGATGACGACAACAACACATGTTTTAGAACTAAAACACGGACTGTTCAGTATGATAAGCATATTAATTGAAATTAGTCACATAGCTAACTGAAGCTGAAGGAATGCCGGATCACTTCATTTTTGCCTTTCAGCCTCATGAATGTAAAATGTGCTTGTAATCTTAATACTATTCCACAAACGGAGCACGTCTTTAAAAATTGTACTTCACAAGACTCAAGGGAAAATAAGATCCTAATAAATGGTATTTACAGTTGCTTCATTTATACATGCCTTCATTTGCTTTTTCAGAAGTTACCTCATAAGCTGAAGTAATTAAGAGTAATCTAGGCTGTTATTTCCTTCTTATTCATTCTGCTTTCAGATTTAATATTGAATTCTAATGTCCAGCAAACCGTACAAAAAGGCTACAATATGCACAATTCATTTAAGCTTCAACCCTTATGCTCACGACAATACTTTTTTATTTCAGTGGGATACGCACATTGGGTATTATTCACCTGCCTTGATTAATATTATTATTTTTTTGTTTCTTTGTCTTAGATAGCCACACATTCTTAAAGGTTTCTGTGCATTCATGTGTGTTTATGTATAAAGGCCAACAATTCCCCTCATTATCAGTGGGAATTTTTCTTGCTGATTACTGTAGGCAAGTAGATTGCAGTCTATATGTGTGCTCCATGTGTGACAAGTAAAGGCCTTTTGGATGAACTGAGAAAGAGTACAGAAGAAGCATGAAAAGAGATATCTGCACACTGTCAACTGCAGAAATGTTTATTAGCAATTTAAATTTTTAATTAAACCTACAAAGGTAAGTATTCAGAGTGTTGTATAGCAAATTTGAACTGAAAACTGTATTATTTTATAATTTTGTAATGTTTGTAAGATGTTCCAAAACGTATTCATATATATGACTTCTTCCTCACATTACAGAATATCTGATTATTTTTCTTAAAATTCTTCCTGCCAACACAGCTGACACAAAATCTGATACAAAATCTCTTCCTGTCTTCCAGTAAAATGCAAGCTGTAGTTATCTGACAATTGAAAACACCCATGTAAATTTTTTTAAAAGAAAAGTGTGTGTGGGGGGGTGAATGTGTGTGTACAAGAGACCTGTTTCTCCTTTAAAGCCACGAACAATAGAAGGTCATGTGACATAGTATCCTATCATTCACCACATTAATAGCTGTGCTAGAGTAATTACACTTGTGGTATTTTTGCCTCAAGTGAAATTCTGAAATAAGAGGATGGAAATTATGATACTGCTGATAAATATTAATAAGTGAACTTTTAATTTTTTTGCCACAATATTCAAAATGCTAAGCATCTAGCTAATGCTGAAGCAGCCTGATATGTGTTTGCCTCCAGGGACCATGATGCTTTATGCACTTAAGAAAAAAGTTTAACGGAATTAAAATTTAATATCTAATTAGAGCAAGGCTAATATATTTTGAAATGAGTAGAGAAGACACACATGCCTATGTGGCATATTTGCCACACTCATTAATCTTACCTGTAAAGCAGCATTGAGAGGTGAGCAGTAGGTGTGGCTGGTCTGCATGTTTTTAATAAGTGAAGGGTTTCTGCACAAGGAAGACATATAAAAAGAGTCAAGTTAAATACAGCCAACACTTGTGTTCCATGGATTTCTGAAATTTACCACATCAGAAAAACACGCTCAGAAATATGTTATTCTCCCGCCCTTGACCTTTTAAAAAATTTCATAGCTACTTTAACTGCCCTCACCTTCACTGATTATTGAAGATTTTTTTCCAGTTAATTTTAACTTTAAAAATAATGAGCTAAACACATTTGTTAGGCCCAACTACAACTGAACTAATCGCATTTTTTAAAAGTGGCCATTTAACGAGTCCCATTCATTCAGCTGGTATGCTCTATGACACCCAGATCTAGACCAGTGTTTTGGCGCCAGAAACAAAGACAGCCTTTAAATGTCTTCTGAACCAATTACCTATGCACAACCTTTGCACATCCAGGAGAAAATGTAAATAAGCTAGTCATGTGGGCTGGAATCTTTTCCAGCAAAGCTTTCCCTAAATCATGTAATAAATGGGGAAAGTCAACCCCTTGCTCACAGAACTGGATAGTTTAAGTTATTGGAGATGCTTATAGCCACAAAACGGGTAGAATTTCTAAAGAATGTCCTAGTTAAATTTTCCTGGATTTCTTTTTTTTCCCCCTGAAATTCCCCAGCAATGTTTAATTCAGAATTTCCTGTTTTTCTGTTATCAACAAGAGGCAATACAACAACATTTAGATGATACAATGGTAAGAACTATCCATATAAGAGCAGCCTATCCCTGTGGTTCTTCAGTAAGATTGTGTTCTGACTGGAAGAAAGGCTGCCCGCAACTGGTACTGAAAACATAACATGCAAGCTGAGGGAAAAGGCAGTTCTTCTGAGTGTCTGCATCAGTTCGGAGTGACTTAATAATCTAATAATGTCAGATGCAGAAAACCAGCAGGATTCCCAATCCTAAACTGGAAAGAAGGGGAGGCCTCAAGTAACAGTGAATCATTCAGAGAGGCACTGGGCAGCTTTCTGCATTAATGGACACTCTGTATTCCCTGAAGACTTTAATTATTCATTTTTTTCCCTTGTGGTGCTCTAGTATCTAGTATGCCTCACCATGCCAAACTGAGAATTACTGTCTGGAAGAATACTTTCCAGAGCCATAATGAGGTTGTTTTACACTGAATTCAATGTGGAATCAACTAAGCGGTACTTCCCCTTGGTTTCAACGGGCCTTACTCATTACTAAGGTATTGAGGATTTTTGCTTTCGTCTAGATCCAATCAAGTTTCCCTGTGTACATCTAAGGAAACACTGGTGTTACATCAACTACTACTACTGGGAATTCTTTGTTCTTTTTCTGAGTAAATGCTATTGAAATGAACAAGATATTCACGGCAGTAGCCACCAGTTAACTGCACCAGAAGTTGGCTTCACTCTGCAAGTACTCACAATGCTTTCAAATCTTCAGTAAGAGCCAGGAAACTGGTGTAATTTTGGCATTTTTGTAATCAAAAGTGTAGAAGAAGAGAAGTTATAATAAAAGATCTGATTTTGCAAAGAAAAAGGGGAATCTTTCAGGGGTATTACCATGGTCTCTAAGCATGTTTTCTTAAATAATCTAATTTTTCAAATGCAGCAACACAAATTGTAGAGCAAATAAAGGGAAGCAAGAGCAACTTAAATGATCAATATGGAATCAGTCTAACTGATTATACTCTTACCTAAGAACAGCATGGTAATAAATGCACCAGTATTGTTGTATTGTAAGAAAATGCCGTGATACACATGTAATGTTAGCACACGCATTTGCAAGAAGCAGTGAAGATTTTTTTTTGGCTGGGGGGGAGGAGGAAAGGTAATGCCACTATTTTGTGAAATGTGAGTCTACATGAGATGGATAAATCATGCAAAGCAAAAGCAACAGAGAACAAAAACATGGGGGGAAAATTAGCACGCACACACACACACACGTGTGTATGTGTGCACATACATACACAAAGCAAGTAAAAGCTCTTACTGTGTAACAAGCTCGCCAAAGTTTTCATCAGGGCAGAATTTTCGAGGACGGCCTCGTTGAATATGACGGCCACGTTTAAACTCTTCATCATCAACAGTCCAAAAGGACCCAAACTCATCCTCTACTCTGATAAAGCACTTATGCAGGGAGAGGTTGGTGCGAATAGCACCCTGGGATAAGATCAGCAGCAAACAAGATGAAGTGGAAACAAAGGGACATGGGATTGGGAATAGAACAGACATCAAATATAGGAAAAAAGGAAAAAAGAAAATAAAATGCAATAAGCATAAGCAAATGGATTGTGAGGGTTAATATGCATTGCCACCTAAAAGCTACTAAAAGCATGTGATGCAAAACAAACACCAAGCAAGCAAGGGCAAAGGGGACCGGTGGGCATACAAACGGTAGTGATGGAATGCTCTGTGTTGTTTCCCCTTGACTGAAACAAGGAGAAACTGCCTGGATTGATCTATAACACCATCTAGCAGCCAAAAGCCTCTATGTTAAGACTGTAAGCATGATCCAAGCTAGGCTAAGAAGTTCAAACATGGTGGACATACCCACTGATCTTTTGTGGCCTTCGTTTTTGGAACTCTATTTCATCCACTGTCCATACTGCCCCTTTAACGTTTTCTACTCGCACAAAACACTTGTGAAGACTAAGATTATGACGCACTGCATTCTGCAGCAAGTATAAGAGAGAAAACATTGGGAAAAAAAAACTTTCCATGAGAAAAAGAGACTTAGCATTGTCCATGAACAGCAGCACCGTTAGCCGGCAAGTCCCCTTTCCCTCACCCGCCCTCCACACTACTACATCATATCATATTTACATGTTTAATATTTGCAAAATTTAAAAAAAATAAAATAATGAAGAACACCTTTAGATTCTTTGATGAGGAATGAAGGCTTTAAAAAAAATAATGTAATCTTGGCAAGGATGAAAAACATTATAAGGATTTTACATATGTGCATTACATAGTGGGTTGTGTCTGGCCAACCACGTAAGAAAAAAACTAAAACATTTCTGATGCTGAGGTTACACACACTTTGCATGAAAACTTATGCTCTCCTGAAAGAAAGAAAAAAGGAAGACTACAAAGACAACAAGAAATAATTTTGAGCAAACATGGAAAGTTTGATGTTGATGTCCATGGTCTGCCCAGTGGTCAAGAAACAGTTACACAAGGAATTCCATACATTGTGTTTGTTGTGACAAATTTCAGACAACGGAACTATATCTGTTTATAAGTCTGAAATAACTTCGTCTTCAAGCCTCTATCCATATGCTCAATATGAAAGTTCCTTTTTGTTCGTGGTTATTAAGCATTTGTTAGACCCAAGAAGACTCATACCTCCACAATTATTCACCACTTTGTGAATCCATTGCTTGCGGCACAGACACTGTATTACAGTAGTGATTAACCATCTAGTCATGTTTTGTAAAGTTTCACCGGATTAATCAATCTATAATTTTCTTAGGCTAAATTCACATTTACAGAAGTAGTATACTTTTATAGTAGACAATATAACAGTAAATTACTGCAGTGAACTATACTAGAGTAGCATTACACTACTCTGTATACCACTGGAGTAACCCACTGCAGCACAGGAACAAACCCTACTCTTTCTCTCAGCCCTTAACACTGTGTCTCAGCCTCCAGGAAGGCAAGTCAAACATTCTTGTCTTGTGCCTTCAAGCAACCTTACCCTGGCAGCCATGTTGGAGACATTTCTAAGCTGATTACAGCTAGTTTTTATTTTTAGCAGAACCTGCCTGATGCTGCCCTCTCAGTAACTACAGCTAGTAACCAACAGAAAAGGAGCACCTCCAGGAATGCACAGGTCAGCAACCTGAAACTACAGTCAGTCAGTCAGGAGCCTAGTTTATAGGCCAGAGAAATGTATGGCCACATGTTTAAGTAAAGCAGAAGACTAAGCTTCTTATTCATGAAATGAGGTGGAAAGGCATTCTAATCATGACTGTCTAAAATCGCTGTGCAAACCAAGGTTATGCATAACACATTTATCATATTAATTAAACAGCAGAGGGACGTCTGATCTACATGGGGGAGGGGATTTCCTGAATCCTTTGATATTGCAGTCTCTCAGTGTTAACTGATCTCCCCACCCTTGTAGCACATCTATTCCTTTAGTATAGGGTACCTGAAGAATTGCAGGAATATACAGATTTTTGGCATACAGGAATTTAATATTAATAAATTGCCAAAGAAGCCCAAAATTACATATTTGGAAACTGGTGAGAAACCATAAGTTATTTAAAAAGCTCCATGATTTCATCACATCTAAAGATTTGGTTACAAGGCATGAAAATGTTTGGCTGCTATGTAACTTGGTATGGGCAACTATGTAACTGGTGTTCCATATATGAATGGCGTATGTAACTTGGTATGGGCAGCTATGTAACTGGTGTTCCATATATGAATGGAGTCTGCACATATAAATACATGCCCCAGTCCTGTATACAATCCAGGCAGGCCCAGATGTTCAGTTTTAGGTCCACACATTCTTATTATGACTACAGCTCTTTGACTCAGGGAGAAATGCCAACTGGGTAGGGCAGACACAAGAGGGAATGTGGAGCATGTGGTAGATAGTAGTCCGTTCCTGGAAGCTTTAATTGTAACTTATACATTTGCTGAATCTTTTCATACTTTCTTTTTTAACCATGAAAAAGGAATTCCTCCTTTCTAAGAAGTACTCTCTATGATAACTGTTCCCAATGTATGCACAGTTACTGTGGGTTAGGATGAAATAGGAGAGGGATACTAGGAGGTGACTTCATGGTTTCAATCCCTGCTAATATGAGAAAGAAAACCATTGCCTTGGTTTCAACAGTTTTAAAAAATTCATTGATTAGCAATTTGTTTGTCAACAACTGGTTTGGACTGAGCTTGGCCTAAATGAGTTCATTTTGTCTGAAACAAAGTTGGCTTGTCTGAATTTTCAGTTAAGATTTGTCCCTAATAGTATCATGTCCAATCCTCAGTTCTTATGCCTGGAGGTACACAGAGAACGAAGTTGCTTGGGAGATATAGTTCTCATGAACCTATGTCTATATGAACCATATCTCCCAAGGATCCTTGTGTCTTGATGGCCAGAAAAGTCTACTAGAGACCCCACAGAAAGACCCCTCTGCTATAACATATGTTATACTAGGAAACAAAAGAATAGGGAGTGATAGAGCTATATCAGGCTGCGCTCACTATTAGCCAGACTCTAACTTCCAATAATGGTTGCTCCATCAGACTATTACTGCAAAAACAACAATCTTGTTGCACTGTAAAAGATATATCTGAGGAAAGGGGCTGCAGTCCATGAATGATCCTGCCAGATTAAACTCTAAAGTGCCACAATGTTTTTTGTTCTTGGTTAGAAGGGATATTGTAGTACGCTTCGGGGTTCCAAACTAGAACAGTTTGTTTTGAAATAATCTAATTCCAAATGTTCAGACCGTTATTTAATCTCCCAAAACTTTTAAGGCCAGATTTGCATTCACTGCTGCTTGTTTGATAAACAGTTGATTAAACTACTTCTTGCAACTATTTTGTCAGTTTCCTCTCTCTCTCTCTCTCTCTCTCTCTCTCTGTGTATGTGTATATGTGTGTGTGAAAGGTTTATAAAAATAATGCACTAATACTTTGGTTGTTTTGTTAACATAATAATGGTGTATTATTGCCTCTAGAATTGCAGACAGTTCCAGCTTTTTATATAGCTAAACACCAAGTATCTTCTCTTTAATGGCCTAGCAGAGCTGGATTCGGATCAGTGAAGGATTCAGAATAAACAGATACAATGAGTAGACCCTGAAGCCCCCATGGAATCCCATTTGTTGCTAGGAAGCTGTTGGAAGCATGGGTGGGTAGCTGGATGGAGCACTTAATTACTGAAAACTGTTAGAGGTGATTTTTGGTATGCTTCCCCCGCCCAATAAAATATGTTCACAACACTGTGAAAATTCAATTGCAAGTTTCAGGAGATTCCTTGACCCTGCGTGCACTGATCAAACAAGGGAGCATTTACATCCCTAACACAGACTGCAAAGAGACTATGAGAAGGGAATATGTCTGAATGGGGCTTGACCTCACATCTGCCTTGCATTCAGTATCAGAACTTGAGTAACTCATTTTTAAATTGAACTCAGTTGTCTTTTGTCCAGTGGTAGCCATCTGGAAGACGCTATAAGCAGGGCATGAAGATGACTGTGCTGCCTTGTTATTTGGCCAAAGCATCTGGAATTTAGACATACTGTCTCCAAACATGGAGGTTTCATTTAGCTATTATAACTGCTCCAAAACATGTCACTTCTGATATACAGAAATCTAAAATACGATATACTGGTTCAAAACAATGAAACGGCTTAGTAGGAACTGATATTGGTTCTTCATGGCCAGGATCACCGTACTTTCCACGTTACATAGATTTTCAAGTGTGATCCAAGTAATATGGCTTACTAAGTAGCCAAGATTGCTAAGAGCCAGCTGAACTGGTACAAGGCCAGCTAAAGCTGTGCTGAATCTAAACCTCTCAAAGCCAAAGAATCTGGGAAATTACTTAGGGCGACCCATATCCTGGCCTAACTTTGTGTGCTCTTGTCTTTGGGCTGAAGGAATTCTGAATCTGGCTTCAGCTCTTCGCCTACTGTGTCCCTTTCCCATCTCTTTTTGAGCTCTTTTACTGGCTAATCTTACCTAGCAGAGTGGCTAGTTAGTTAAGTTAGAACTATACCTACAAAAGCTACATAGCTGGATGAAGTATAGTTATGTTGCTTTATTTCCAGAACAGAAATGTTTGCATTTCCCTCCCCCCTCTTCCTTTTTTAAAAAAATTATATGAGCTCTATTTCACGGTTCTAATTTCGGGTGGGAGGGGGTGTTCTGGCATGAGAATTTTTTTAAGGTGGTATAATGAGAAAATAAAAAGGTGTGCAACAGTGACATTTCTTCTCTTTTAAGCTGTTGTGACAAAGCCCTAAATTACCTCTCCCTAGAATTCAGGGGAGGATAAATAATTCTTTAGGATATTGTGCAGGAGGGGCAGCATCCTAGAACGAAGGGAAAAAATATTCAGGTACCATGTGTGCCATTTTGGATTCTAGCCATTGTAAAAGAAAGGAGCATTCTGAGAGAATTTAAACACATAGAGAAATTAACTAAACAGAGCCAAACTATTGAAATTTAAAGCACCAGGGGTATTTTGTTAAATTGCTAGATTTAATATTTTTATTGGCTTGCGTCTTTACTGCTGTGCCCAATTAACCTGTATTGTGTTTCATAATACACTAGTGAATGTTTTGAGAAGTGGGCATGTTAATTTAAGGCAGGTGTATCAGCTGGCAGAAAAGCTAGAGTTCTACGCATCTTTGAAAGAAAAAAAAAGAGCTTGCAGTTCCAAGCTAAAAGAAAGAGTCCCTAAAGCTAATATCTGATAAAGCTAGCATCATCCTCTTCCCTGTATCTTAGCTGCTGAAATGTCCACACAGGTGGAAAGGTGGTTTAAACACAAAACGTGGAGAAGAAACAGTGAATATTGAAATCAACAGTATTTCAAAGGCAGAAGAATTTTTCTCCAAACCAGCAAATTGTTTGTGTAAAGAAGAGGCATTTTGTGCATGTCAAAACAAGTGATCTAAATTTCAAAGTCCATGCACTGCTACCACTGGTTCTGTCTACAGCATGGTCTATTCCATACATGTTAAATAGTAAAGCAAGATGTATACAAGACAAGTCATACCTTCCACGTTGCTGCATTTCGTCTGAAGTAGGCAAACATTCGCGTGAACCAATTGTAGATTTCATTTAGTGTTAGCTGCTTTTCTGGAGATTCAAGAATGGCCTGTAAAGCAATTACAATGCAACAATGATCTAAGACTAAATGAGTAGAAAACACACTTGCACATTTGTTTAAATAAATAAAATAATACGTGGCTCAGAGCACAAAATCCAAAAGAAGGCTTTACACTACGATCTAAGATTAATGGTTGTATTTAATAGCTCAATGGCAAAATTCAAAATGGAATTATCTAATTGTTTTGAGTTTTATTTCTGTTTCCTTACAGAAATATTAATTTATTAGTCATTCATAAAACAGAATCAAAGAGAAATGCAAAACATTTCACTAGCTGATTAAAGCTTAGTAATTATTTTGAGCTCAGATTAATTCTAGGGATCAGAGATTACTGTAGCTTGTGATAATTGACTTGCCATCTTTAAACAGGCTCATTTTCACTGTTGTGTGAAATGAATTTCCTAATAATCACATCGTATTGTAATACTTAATCAAAAGCAATTATGGTATATGTGTTGCAGTTGTGAAAAGAAAAAACCCTATAGCAAAGGCTTCAAGATGCCTTCGTGCTAACAGGCTCTCGAACTGGCTGTCACATATATACATACAACCCTGGATTGAAGCAGGTTATTCAGTATGGTCTTCCTTACCTGCCTAATTAAGGATGCATATGTGAAGGGTGGCCTGACTTCTGCATTCTTGTAGAATTCTTGGTTCTGCGCAATATCTGCTAAACAAAGGATAAATATTTTCACATTACAGTGGCCCACAGTTCAGAAGGGACACGTAAGTGGGGAGCACTTAGAAGGTCCCTGCATCTGTCAACCTACCTGAAGAGATGGGCACATTGTATTTGTCAGAGTACCGCCTTCGGATAGGCCCGACACTGTGCATGCTGGTAGTAGTGATGACGGAAGGTCCCTGCGTAACAGGCGTGATGGGTGCCGTTGGGGTGGTGGGAGTATGAGGTAAGCTCTGTGGAGAAGCCTCTGATGCCGTCTTTGAAAGTGTGACACTAGATACAAGGTTCAGCTACAACAATAAGGGAGGGGAAACACATCATTAAAAGTAAGTCTTACAAGTTTCTCATTACTAAACGGGATGCTGTAAAAGAGAGGCAGATTGGGGAGTCCCTGGCTCTAACAGCACTTAAAACACGATCACAGTCAAACTACCATCTTTGCCCTCAGTCTTAATCCACTATGATCTGCCATAAGAGGCTGAACAATATAGTCCTTTACTGCAGTTACTGAGCTGTTCCATGCCTGGAAAAAAAACCTCCATGAAAAATAATGAGTATTGTTTCTAAACAAATATACATTAAAATACGATTTAAAATATTTTCTTTTTATAGCCATGCATGCATAGCAAACACATTTTTGGCCTTTAACTAAGTCTATGAAGTCTCCACTTCATAGTAACATAATAACTTAATAACATAATAATAACATAATAACATAAGCAAGTTGGGTTTCAAAACAAGCTCCCAAATAAACAAATATTTATTTTTAAACTTTTATTTTATTGAGAACCTCAGTGCAGATTTGCTAATAATTGTCCTGGTTTTAGGGAATAATCACAAACATCCTTCAAAGGAAACATGCTCTCTGAAAACACAGAAATTCAGGCCAATATCAAACTACCAATTTGCAGGAGAGAAGGCTGTAGGAAATTTCAGGAATCACTTTTTCCCCACTCTGGCATAACAAACTGAATCTATATTCTTATGTATGAAAGTTAAATGCAAAAAAAGAGAGACATCACTTCCCTCATATTTAGTCATAACAATGGATATTTTTAAGCCTTGATAAGGACTGGTGTTTAACTCTCACAACTGTTGAATTATAACTGTGTCAATGGAAATGTGCAAACTACAGACTGAAAGTAGAAGTATTTCACACTAGAGACGGATTTACCAAAATCTGGAGAAATATGGAAAACAAAACAATGGCCCATAGACTAGAAATGTCTTATATAGCATTCAGTCCCCAAGAAAAGATAGACGAATGAGTGCAGTAGCTATAGAACCAATGGGTAAAATTCTATTGAGTTACATTTTCACTGGTATAAACCAGATTGGAGTGCTAGAAATTATTAACTTAAATTGATTTAAAGCCTCTTATTTCCCAATTTCATCTTCTGAGGCTTCCTGGGACTTCTTCTGCCCTGGGAACACTCTGTGAGCCTTGGGATGGGAGTAGGCGGGAGACTTTAATACCTGAAAATCACCACTGGATCGCCACTGGCAGTGGCGATCTGGTGGTGATTTTTTACTTTCGAAGTCTCAGCCCTCATATGCAGATGACACCATATTACTGACAGAAAACAGCAATGACCTGAAATGAATATCAATGAAAGCTAGAGAAGAAAATGCAATAACAAGATTGTGGCTGAGTACTAAGAAGACAAAAATCGTATCTGAAGAATTACATAAGTTTAATGATGACAACACTGCAAGGAGAACAAACCGATCCATTCTAAAGGAAATCAAGCCTGAGTCCTCACTGGAAGGACGGATCCTGAAGCTGAGGCTCCAATACTTTGGCCATCTCATGAGAAGAGAAGACTCCCTGGAAAAGACCCTGATGTTGGGAAAGTGTGGAGGCAAGAGGAGAAGGGGACGACAGAGGATGAGATGGTTGGACAGTGTCATCGAAGCAACCAAGATGAATTTGACCCAACTCCGGGAGGCAGTGGAAGACAGGAGGGCCTGGCGTGCTCTGGTCCGTGGGGTCACGAAGAGTCGGACACGACTAAACGACTAAACAACAACGATGACAATGAAGATATCCCAACGGTTAAAAGATTTCCAATACCTCAGTACAATCATCTTGAACTGCTGAATGAGATGGAAGAGCAGGTATATCCCATTCCACTCCATTACTCCTAATTACAGTCTCTTTATAGGTCCAAACTAGCCATTATTTAACTATGTGCTTCTTCTTATGTGCTTACTATGAATCACAATGTTTTATAATGAAAGGCATCCACAGACAAGAAAGAAAAGTAGGGGCAGTTTTCTTCTATCTCTCATCCTTTTATTTACAAGAAACAGAATCTAGGAGATCTAGAGATGGGAAAACAGCAAAAGATATGGAAGGAACACTATGGCTATGTGCCCCTGACAAGCAAGATACTGAGGGAGGTGGGTGGCAAAATTAATTTCATTAAAGGTAGCAGTGTGGAGTATGAAGTAGAGTCGACACATGGAGACAGAAGGTGGACCGCCTGGATCCTTGATGTGAGCCAGCAAGCCATTCTCAGTTTCATGTGGTTAAGATTTTTGTCAGACTGAATCTATTTTATGCCCCTCTGCCTAGCACCCATCCCATAGGATAGAAAAGGGCAGTAATGATACTAGTGCAACTAAAAAGTATAGTGGAAAAATTAAACCCTCTTCACTCATGAAGTGGGCTCTTGTAAGCATCACATGCAGAACTGAACCAATTTCCAGGGTTGCTCAACTACCCATGCTTTGTAGATTAGTTCTTCCGAGGGAAAGAGTATGGCTAGTATTTCATCATTACCGTTCAAACCACTCAGTTTCAAACAAGTTCAGTTTTGTTTTTTACTGTTTAAAAGCTCAAACATTTAATCTGCTTCTAGTGGGAAACTGGGTGGGGTGGGGTGAAGCCCAAAGGTCAACATTCTCCAGTTAAATAATTTGAATTGAGTTAAATTTCTTTAGGCTCTTCAGGGTAGGTAGTGGAACTAGAAATAAACAGAGAAAGTGAGGAAGAGCAAAAGGAGGGGGCGCCGACTTTAACAGCCTTGACAAATGACACTGCGATTCACACCCACTGCTGGGCTGCCACTAATAAGCTACAGAGGAAGCAGCCAATCTCAGCTAATTACCAGATAAAATTGTATTGTAAGGACTCTAATTAGGAGATGCTTATGGAGGTGATCTAATGATTAAACGCCGCATTCGAATGACCCCACCATCAATGTGCAATGGTGCAAGATGTCACTAGAATATTTTGTAGAAACAGTAATTTTATTTCGAGGGGGGAGGCCGTAATATTTGTAATAATGGCTATGAGGTAAACTAATTAAAAGACAGTTCCTAGAGGAAGGCTGTGGCTTTGAGCAGCTGTGGCCGTTCCAAAACAAAGTGCCAAATCTTGACAGAGGAACTGCAGTCAAGTGGAAAATGTCTGCCTGACCTCTGCTCTTGCTATTAATTTGCAGGAAAACTAATGACACATATACATATTCCCACAAAATTGTTCTAATTGCTAATTTGCCAAAGGAGCCCAGTTTCCAAATTAAACATGACTGCAGTCTGGGAAGAAAAAGGAAGAAGAAAAGGGGGAAGGTAGTACAAGGTGGACAGATCTTGTATGGCTTTATGTTTCATCTCAGAGAACTCTTGATACATTACTGAAATGATGACACTGTCATCATTTCAGGGAAGTTTTGATTTACACAGTTTTGTTTGCTGGTCAAACATTCTTTTCAATAGGCCTAGCCTCCATGAACTCTCATGGGGACGTGGTGGCGCTGTGGGCTAAACCGCAGAAGCCTTTGTGTGCTGCAGGGTCAGAAGACCAGCAGTCGTAAGATCAAATCCACGCGACGGAGTGAGCTCCCGTCGCTTTGTCCCAGCTCCTCACCAACCTAGCAGTTCGAAAGCATGTAAATGCGAGTAGATAAATAGTACCATCTCTGTGAGAAGGTAAACAGCGTTTTGTGTATAGCTGCACTGGCCACGTGACAACAGAAACTGTCTTCGGACAAATGCTGGCTCTACGGCTTGGAAATGGGGATGAGCACCGCCCCCTAGAGTCGAACACGACTGACTAAAATGTCAAGGGGAACCTTTACCTTTACCATGAACTCTTAGGTAAAAGATGGAACGAGGGGCCAAAGGTAGAAAATTTACACCAAGTATGCTTGAGGACACACTGCTTTCTTTGACACAAATTCAGATATCATGAAGTGAAGCAGAACTGTTCCATGCATGGTGTTGTAGTTTGTTGCAATCTGTTTTATAAACAATTAATCCTTAATATCATCATCAATTAGCAATGAAAAATGCCCCATTTAGATGCTGGTTTTGCAATAACTAAAGACAGTTACGCAGGCCAAGGATCAGGGAGGGCTCTTCTACTGGGAGGATTTCTTATCCTAATATAAGCGCTACCCCATTTTCTCAGTATTTCCTTTTTCCATTTAGAAAATGCTACTGTAAATTGAAAAAATAATAATAAAGCCATTTGACATATAAGAAGTTTTCAGTTTGCCATAATTTATTTTGATGAGGTGTCATTTTTGCTAGAGGGTAACAGGGAAGTCTCAACCAGGCATTATTATTAGAGATAGTAGTCACCTTATCCTGGATGTGTTGGAGCAGGTATATTTTGACCAATACAAGAACTGAGAGACAGATATCTAGGTCACTGGTATTAATGGCAAAAAACTGCTCATGTTCATTCCAGCAACGAGGAAGGTATTAGGGGCACTTATTTAAGAAGTATTTCCAGCCAGTCCCATATCTAATTCCACCCCGCTACAAATAACTATCTTTGCCTTCTGTCTAAAGACAAATTCTAAAATGAAAGGATGCTAGAGACATTGTAAACTAGATAGTGCTTGAGAGACGTCAATAGGAGTTCTGTATAGACATGGAAAAGACTGCTTGGAAGTGCAGGGTCCCTGTCATTCCATAAACTCAAGCAAGATTACATCCAAACTTCCTGATTTCCCCCCTCCCCCCGATTTACAGTATATTTAACCTGAAATAAACAGGAGAAAGAAGCTCATTTGTGTTTATGTGGAAAAAAGTGAAAAGGAAGAGATGGGACTAGCAGCTTTCCTCTAACCAATTTAATGATCCTGGAGTAGAGAATAACTGAATATACTGTATTTTTTGCTCCATAAGATGCACCTGACCTTAAGACGCACCTAATGTTTAGAGGAGGAAAACAGGGAAAATATATTCTGAACCAAATAGTGTAATAAAATATTTAATAAACTATAACAGAATAACATTTCAACCATGTAAAGCAGGGGTCTCAAACATGCGGCCT